ACAGGAACCAAGAACACGTCTAGGAACGCTACGTCTAGTGATGACGCTATAAAGCCCGTCGCCGTGCTTGCGTCCTACCAGTTCCTATGGCCAATTGGCCAGTGCGAACGCAAGCAGCAAAACCGAGTTTAGGGGAGAGTAGTTCTTAGAGCTGTTTAGAAGTGGACAGTTCCTATAACTAAGTTCCTGTAACTACTTGGTCGGAAAGCAGATAATGTGTGGTGGTTCTTGAAGCACTGACTCCAGCTCAGTCCACTCTTTGTGAATCTCCCCCACATTTTTGAATGGGATTTGTTTCAGTCCTCTCCAGGGTGCGGTTATCCCTATTGCTTGTACACCTTTTTCTACCACATCTTTTCCTTCCCATCGCCTTTCGCTAATGTTAATGTTACCATTAGGTAATTGTGTCGTTGATCAAATAAAATTGTAGTTCCCACTACAGAAACAAGAGGGATATGTGCCTATAATGTTCAATAACTTTTTCCCTTTCATTTCAGAGCTGATGCAAGTAAAGGAGGAGACTGAAGAAGTGATGCAAGTAAAGGAGGAGAGAGAAGAACTGATTCAAGTAAAGGAGGAGAGAGAAGAACTGATTCAAGTAAAGGAGGAGAGAGAAGAACTGAGAGAAGTGGAAAATGTTAAACCTGGGAAAAAAACGTGGAGTCGCTCAAAGACTAAAAAGACATCTTTAAAGAAAAGAGACAATAATTCTGCATCCTGCACTCAGTGTGGAAAGAGTTTTGTATATAAACAAAGTCTTGTGATTCACATGAGGATCCACACCGGAGAGAAGCCGTTCTCATGTGATCACTGCGGGAAGAGCTTTGCATACAAACAAAGTCTTCAGCTTCACACGAGTGTCCATACCGGAGAGAAGCCGTACGCGTGCCATCAATGTGAGAAGAGTTTCTTGCGACCATCTCACCTTAAAAAACACATGAGAGTTCACACTGGAGAGAAGCCGTTCGCTTGTGATCAGTGCGGGAAAAGGTTTCCATACAGAGAAAGTCTTATTGTTCACATGAAGAGACACAATGGAGAGAAGCTGTTCCTGTGTAATTGCTGTAAAAAGAGATTCTCAAGCAAACAACAACTAGAGGTTCACTTTAGAGTTCACACTGGAGAGAAACCGTTCAAATGCCCTCAGTGTGGGAAGAGTTTCACACACAGAGAAAATCTTAAAGCTCACATGAGGATCCACACTGGAGAAAGACCGTTCATGTGTGATCAATGTGGGAAGAGTTTCACACAATTGGGACAACTTAAAGGGCACAGGAATGTCCACACCAGAGAGAGGCCTTACACATGTGATCAGTGTGGGAAAACGTTTCAGTGGGCGTTAGCGAAGGAGAAGCCGCATTCATGTTCTGAGTGTGGAAAGAGTATTTCACAGCTGGAATATTCACATGGACATGAGAAAACTCACACTGGTGTGAGAGATCATGTGTGCTATGAGTGTGGGAAGGCTTTTATTTCATTGGCCTTTTTAAAACTGCACCAGAGGATCCACACTGGAGAAAAACCTTACAAGTGTTCACACTGTGACAAGAGATTCAGTCAATCATCAAATCTGAAAACACATGAGAGGATCCACACTGGAGAGAAACCGTTCTCATGTGATCAATGCGGGAAGAGTTTCTCTGTCAAAGTTCAACTACAGCTACACACGAGGATCCACACTGGAGAGAAACCTTACAAGTGTTCACACTGCGACAAGAGATTCAGTGTGTCGTCATCTCTGAAAGCACACGAGAGGATCCACACTGGAGAGAAACCCTACAAGTGTTCACACTGCGACAAGAGATTCAATCAGTCACAACATCTGAAAACACACGAGCGGGTCCACACTGGAGAGAAGCCGTACACATGTGACGAGTGTGGGTCGAGTTTCGCTATTAAACGCAACCTGGATCAACACAATAAGATCCACACTGGAGAAAAAACATATGAGTGTTCACACTGCGACAAGAGATTTAATCTGTCATCAACTCTGAAAACACATGAGATGATCCACACTGGGGAAAAGCCTTATGAGTGTTCACACTGTAACAAGAGATTCAGTCGATCAACAAATCTGAAAACACATGAGAGGATCCACAGTGGAGAGAAGCCGTACACTTAAACACAGTCTGAGATCACGGCAAGTAGTTTATCTTCATGTGCTGAGCAACAAAGTAGTTTCCTTACAAGCCACTGTGAGCGTCAGGACATTTTCTTGTTTTGATTGGTGTCTGCTTGGAAAGATTTTCATTAGTATAAAGGCCTGTTCACACCGGGACGAATTTCACACGCGTTATTCGCCGTTGTTTAACGCCTTGTGACTAAACAAAGGGCGCTAATGTGAGTCTGCACACCGACGCGTAAATGCGTCATTTTTTAACCCCTTAGCTGTCACCCCCCTTTTTGAGAATGGAGGTTAAAATGCACTATTCAAGCTTAAATGGTTGTTATTTAAGAATGCTTTGGAATATACCCAAGTTTGGTCTTGTTTTAAAGGAAACACTCAGCAGAATATTGCTGAAGCGAAAAAACTTAAAAAAAATTAAAGTATGAAAAAGTTATGGAAGTTTAAATTGACAGTAAATCAAATATACTGTGCTATATATTTTTATTTTATATAAAATACATATTTTACTCTAAAAGTTCTGTAAAATCAAAGCCATAAATCTTATCAAGTTATGTTCCAAATTTGAAGTTGATATCACAAAAATTGAAGTTCACATGGGATTTTGTTTAGGCGTAGTACCAAAAATAGCCACCGGGTGCCTTTGAATTCCATTGAATTTAGTTGTATACATTCTGCCTTAACAAATTAATACATTTCTGTCCAAATATCAATTCTGTCACAAAATTTGAAACCTTGAGACTCTGACCTTTCTGACAATATCAGTTTTGTCAAGATTAGAAAAGGTTTTGATCATAAATTATGAAATATAATGACACCCATAAGGGGAGGAGCCTGATAAAATAAGTACCGTTTCTATGGTAACGCAACATTCAATTATAAAACAGTTTTAAAACAGGATAATAAATATAAATATTATAATTTTTAGAGGATAATATTATACTATATTTTTTATTGAAAAACACTAGATTATATGTTTTATTATGAACTTTTAGCATAAAAACAGAAGCTTCAATGATTAAAAGTGGGTGCATCGACTTTTTGTGACAAAGGTCAAAACTCCTGTTATGATGCAGATTTTGCAGACAAGAGGTGCACTCTTGTCATAAATTCATCAATTACTCTTCCTACATAGTTTGTAACACAAAACAGGGGTAGAATATTTATTTAGAAGTCTTAGACCTTTCCAACAATATATAATTTGTCATAATTAGATTAGGATTTAATAGAAATATAGTGAAGTAAAGATAGGTGTCCCGGTACCAGGACGGTGACAGTTAAGGGGCTAAAAAAACGCCTCGGGTTCATTTTGTTTTTAGTTTGACACGGCGTGTCAAAAACTATCCGACCAATGAGATTGGAGCTTCTGAAGTTACAGTAAAACACAACTTGGGGGCGCTCAAACACAAAACGGTCTTGCAGAGCACACATACGTAACGGTGAAGAAGATCTAAACCAAGTAGCGTCTTCACTGCTGGGAAGAAATAAGACGAGGAAGATGTAAGGCCAGATGAACGTAGAGCTGCTGTCAGAACATAAAGAACGATATGACAAACGCGACAGCCACTACAAACATCTTGATAAAAGAGAGCTGTTATGGAGTGGTATTGCATGGCAAATGGACGCCATCTAATGTCAGGGAATGAATTTGCATGTTCACTCGACTCATCGTCAGCGAAAAACGCTGGCGAATAACGCACGCTGATATTCGTCCCGGTGTGTACAGGCCTTAAGGATGTATCTCATAATGAGGTCCAAACAGGGCCTAAAACTAACTTTTTATCACACTTGCCAATGGCTGGTGACTTAATGTACCGGCAAATATTTTTTTTGACAACCAGACTCCATTACTGCTCATATAAGGGCGCCTCCATTTCCATATGTGGTTTGTATGAAAATTGTGGAAATAATGGTTCAGATCACTCAATTTCTGAAGTAGACACCCTATTGAGAAGTAGCATGGGAAGTTAGGCAGATTTTGATATGAATGGGATTTTGATTCAAGAAGGGGATGAAGGAGAGATCCTTGCAATCACCAACCTGATACGCCAGCAGTTATCAGGCGCAAGAAGCGTCAAGCCTAGCTAGTATCCATCTGTTAGTTAATATTGATTTATGATCTGTAACAAGTAATCATTTTCATTTGATTATTGTAATAAATTTTGTAACATTTATTATATTCATCTGACTGGACCTTGGATCATTGAGTGTTAGTCGCTCTCTTCTAACTGGGCCGGGAGGACCCTCCCTGAAGAGAACGACCAATCAGAGGGTAAGATTTCTTTTGAGATAAGAATAACCCAAAATAGCCTAGCCAAAGAGGCAGCATATAACAAGTGTATATGTATGACTAATGTTTATGATGTGAACAAGGTTGAAGAGTACCACCAAAGGAACTAGACTTATAATATAAAGGGGAAATTTATTATTTCAATAATAGAATACGAATTTAAATAGACTGATCACCTAACTGTTGAGGACACGACTAAAGGATAGGCTCTTTAGTTACCGCGAGATTATATTAATATCAAGGATGGGATATTGTATAATTAGGAACGGTATTAATCGGGAGATTCCATCACATGGGGGCTCGTCCGGGATTTTCTTTGGATAACTCAAAAAGTGTACTCTAGTACAGTACCTGTGGGATAATAATGTAGTAAATCTACATACCAACGTTTACATGGTTTGAACCCTCAGTACTGTTTCTGCCCATGAGGGGGCGCTGTTGGGCTGGGGAATAAAGACGACACTAGATAAAGAGTCCACAGGTGTTACTCTCAGGATACGACTTACTCAAGTAAATGGTCTTTGTTACTGTCCACCTCTGATGATGATGATGATGACGAAGAACACACGCTGATCTACATAATGAGATGAGACAGTATATTAAAGATTTTAATGAGGAGGTAAGCTGCTTCTTCTTTCAAAGAGCAAATCACAAAATAAAACACTTCTTCATTAGCTACTATCACTTACTGTTAGCCGACAGACACTCTTCCCATTATCAAAGCCAATTTTAATACAAAATAACCGTTTAAATGCTTAGGATGTTTGTGTTGTAAGAATACAGGGAGATTTTTAAAACATTAAGGCAATATTTTCTCAGTCAAATCATACCATTTCCTATTGATTCAATAGGACACGTGAGCTCACTAGGGAATACCAATATGGCGGCGCGGTGGCGTCACTGATGACATCATCGCTCACCTGTTGCCGGAGGGCATTCTTACACCATGGCTTGTGTGACGTGTGTGAAGAGCTGTAACATGAACAGGATCTGCAGTGTGTTTGTCTGAACAGAAACACTAGACCACTGAGAGAATATACAGGTTTAATTCCACCGCCAACATCACACACACACACACACACACACTTCAGCTCTACTGTTACCATCTGTGAGTATTTGAATTACATTATCAAAAGGAATTTACAGAATTACCCACACACACACAGTCATCAGGATTAGAAAATGAGCAGGATGAAATACAGGTGTTAATTTCACTCTCGCTGGTTAAATATTAAAGTCAGAGTGTATATCTATGAAAACTGCTGCTGTCATCACACAGAATCAGATGAAAACTGTCGGAAACGAGTCGCTGTGATCCAGTCCGTGATCCGGTCCATGATCCAGTCCGTGATCCAGTCCGTGATCCGGTTCACATGTTCTTCTTGTCGGGATTCTCAGGAGGGTAATATGGAGGAGGCTGATCCTGATGAACAACACGAGGAATCATTCGAAACGACTCACGATCACTGAATCACCAGTAGAAGTGTGTGTGTGTGTGTGTGTGTGTGTCTCACCATGGGCATGTAGACGCTGTGAGGGTTGCTGGGATTGTAAAATGCACTACTGGCTGCTTCTGCTGCTTTGGCATTTCCTGGAGCAACTATAAACGACACACAGAGATCAGATCATGTGACTAAAGACCCAGTATACTGTGTGTGTGTGTGTGTGTGTACCTGGTGGCGGACACCAGTCCTGTGGGGGTCCGGGATACGGAGGAGGCGGAGCCATGTACATGGGAGCGCTGGGATACACACCTGTTCAAAAGCACAGTTCATCAGTACAGAAGCGTTCATCAGCTGAGTGTGTGTGTGTGTGTGTGTGAGGTACCTGCAGCAGTGGGGGGATATGGGTAGGGGTTGTACGCGGCCTGAGGCATGCTGGGATACGGGTACGGCTGAGGCATGGCTGGACTGGCGTATCCGTTCATCCCTGCGGCCGATCCGTTCTGAGCCGGAGGACCTCGAGACGCTGACCAACACACACACACACACACTCATTAATATATTGACATACGTGTGTATTTGTAAAACACAAGGGCTACGCACTCTCTTTTGACAAGCATTCACATGAATAAAAGCGGGATCATAAAAAATAACAGATGACAGAATTTATTTATTTAAAAGTCGCAGCATTTTGCATCATAATCGTATAGGCCTAACATCGCGATTGTGATTTGATTAATCGCGCAGCAGCAATAAATCGTCAAACAAATCAAACGTACCGTTGGTGGCGAGTTTGAAGAGCTGCTGTCCGAGCTCGATGGCGCCTCCGCTGGGGAAACACATCTTAAAGTTGGACTGGCCTTCCCAGCCGCCTGAGACACACACACACACGTGAACACAGCGCTATAAAGAACACACACACTCAGTGCAGGTGCATGCTGGGTAAAGCACTCTACCTCCCGCCTCGGCTTTGATCAGGCCCTGGATGTAGTTGGCGGCGAACACTGGCTGCTCGATGCTGCAGTTCTTCATCAGGTAATACGGGAACATGAAGGAGCAGAACTTGTCTTTCATCACACTGCTCACAAACACCATCTGAAACACACACACACACACACCAGTGTTGTCACCATACCAAAAGTTGAGTTGTACACGTAATACAAAAACAAATAAAACATCTCCAGTCAAATAGCAGAGCATTCATTCAGTTCGCTATTAAATAAGAGATCTAGCGCGAACATCTGTCGGGGTTTTAAATCAAGCGGAGCGCTCTTTTTCGCTGCTATCTGTGTCATGGGTACAGCGTTATCTGGTTAACCTGTGTTTGGGTCAGTTATGGGTTAGTTAGCATGTGTTTGGGTGGGTTATAGATTACTTTAAACTCTATCGGGTCAGTTATGGGTTAGTTAGCATGTGTTTGGGTGGGTTATAGATTACTTTAAACTCTAATGGGTCAGTTATGGGTTAGTTAGCATGTGTTTGGGCGGGTTATAGATTATTTTAAACTCTATCGGTCAGTTATGGGTTAGTTAGCATGTGTTTGGGTGGGTTATAGATTACTTTAAACTCTATTGGGTCAGTTATGGGTTAGTTAGCATGTGTTTGGGTGGGTTATAGATTACTTTAAACTCTATCGGTCAGTTATGGGTTAGTTAGCATGTGTTTGGGTGGGTTATAGATTACTTTAAACTCTATCGGGTCAGTTATGGGTTAGTTAGCATGTGTTTGGGTGGGTTATAGATTACTTTAAACTCTATCGGGTCAGTTATGGGTTAGTTAGCATGTGTTTGGGTGGGTTATGGGTTACTTTAAACTCTATTGGGTCAGTTATGGGTTAGTTAGCATGTGTTTGGGTGGGTTATAGATTACTTTAAACTCTATTGGGCCAGTTATGGGTTAGTTAGCATGTGTTTGGGTGGGTTATAGATTACTTTAAACTCTATTGGGTCAGTTATGGGTTAGTTAGCATGTGTTTGGGTGGGTTATAGATTACTTTAAACTCTATCAGCTCAGTTATGGGTTAGTTAGGGTGTGTTTGGGTGGGTTATAGATTACTTTAAACTCTATTGTGTCAGTTATGGGTTAGTTAGCATGTGTTTGGGTGGGTTATAGATTACTTTAAACTCTATTGGGTCAGTTATGGGTTAGTTAGCATGTGTTTGGGCGGGTTATGGGTTACTTTAAACTCTATCGGGTCAGTTATGGGTTAGTTAGCATGTGTTTGGGCGGGTTATGGGTTACTTTAAACTCTATCGGGTCAGTTATGGGTTAGTTAGTATGTGTTTGGGTGAGTAATGGGTTACTTTAAACTCTATTGGGTCAGTTATGGGTTAGTTAACATGTGTTTGGGTGGGTTATAGATTACTTTAAACTCTATCAGGTCAGTTATGGGTTGGTTAACGTGTGTTTGGGTGGGTTATAGATTACTTTAAACTATCAGGTCAGTTATGGGTTAGTTAGCATGTGTTTGGGTGGGTTATAGATTACTTTAAACTCTATCAGGTCAGTTATGGGTTAGTTAATGTGTGTTTGGGTGAGTTATAGATTACTTTAAACTCTATCAGGTCAGTTATGGGTTAGTTAGCATGTGTTTGGGTGGGTTATAGATTACTTTAACCTCTATTAGTTATGGGTTAGTTAGCATGTGTTTGGGTGGGTTATGGGTTACTTTAAACTCTATTGGGTCAGTTATGGGTTAGTTAGCATGTGTTTGGGTGGGTTATGGGTTACTTTAAACTCTATCGGGTCAGTTATGGGTTAGTTAGCATGTGTTTGGGTGAGTAATGGGTTACTTTAAACTCTATTGGGTCAGTTATGGGTTAGTTAGCGTGTGTTTGGGTGGGTTATAGATTATTTTAAACTCTATCAGGTCAGTTATGGGTTAGTTAGCATGTGTTTGGGTGGGTTATAGATTATTTTAAACTCTATTGGGTCAGTTATGGGTTAGTTAGCATGTGTTTGGGTGGGTTATAGATTATTTTAAACTCTATTGGGTCAGTTATGGGTTAGTTAGCATGTGTTTGGGTGGGTTATAGATTATTTTAAACTCTATTGGGTCAGTTATGGGTTAGTTAGCATGTGTTTGGGTGGGTTATAGTTACCCTGTACTGTGTGAGGAAGACGGAGCCCTTCTTGGTCCCCTTGAACAGGTCGTTCTTGGGTGTGATGTCACTGAAGGACAGTTCGACGTTCTTACATTCTCGTAAGATGCTGAAAGACCAGGATGAAAACAGGAAGTGAGGTCACAATGGGAACTCAAGCGCACAGAACAGCCGCAGTTTCTCAACAGATGTGAACAAACACTGTTACTACAGTTCCTGTGGAAATCACCGCACTGGCTCTAATGATGATGATGATGATGATGTTAAATCCTACTTCTTCTGACACCCTTAACTGGGACGTTTGATGGCTCATTTTCAGTGTAGTCGACGTAAACCACAGGCTAACTATATGATTAAAGATACAATATGCAGGACCTTTGCAGTAAAATATCCAAAAACCACTAGGCCAACGTTATATATTTTAGTTGATAATTTACAATATCCCAAATATTTCCCACTATTTGTAAATCATGAGAAAATTGCGATTTAAACCAAGGAAACGAGGCGTGTGAGCAGGGATGAGGAGTCGCCAATCAATAACATCACATCCGCGTTACCCCCCGTTTCCGCGTTTCCAGTAACCATGGCGACAGACGTTGATAACTGGGTTAAGTCTAGCAGGACACTCACCCTGTTGGTGTTTTGTTCGCATTATGGATCATGGTAAGTAGACTTTGAGACAAGAGGGCTAGAACGAAGATCAACATCTTTCCAGATCCCGAGAGCTCCACGTCCGCGACTAACCTCGACTCGACAGAGACGCGAGTGTTGCATGCACTTTATTAGACAGGTGAGCACATATACATAAAACTATTCAATGTTATTTAGTTCAATATGATGAAATGTTAGAATATGATCTGTATGTTATTCTAATGTTGATCTAGCTTACTGCGAGTCTCACACAGCCAACACACAACATTCAACACACACAAATGCTGTTTAGTGTGATAGTGAAACTGTTAGAGCAAGTGAAGCAGCGCTGTGTTTCCTCAAGTTTAATTCCACTAATAAACTGACCTGTGCGAGTAATTCAGCACTTGTGTTTAGTTCGGTAGAATGAAATGTCCTTGTTCTGCTATATCCGCGGGACTCGCGTTGTGTGGCGCTGGTGTACGTCTAGC